AGCAACTCAGCCAGCAACAGCAACCCTTCCAGGCTCCTTCTCCTCTATTTTCCTTCTCTCCATGCGTTTCTTGTTCGTCTTCGTCTCTCGCTCTCTCTCTCTCTCTCTCTTTCTCTCTCTAACGCGTAATTATTCGCGTGACAGTAACGCAGGAATGCGAATCTCGTCTCTCTAATTTCTGCAGACTCATCCTTCACGCTGAACTCGTAGTTAAACGATTCGGATCAATCGCTTTTAAGTCATTTTCTTTCCTTGTTTGGTCTTTCATGGACGATTGCAATTCGGAATAAACTAGTTGGACGACAAAAGAATCCTCGAAGACGAGCTTGTGAAAATTGAAATTCTTATCCATATTCTACCAACGCCGTCACGATTATTTAAGATTCCTCAATTTTAGCGTACTTTGAATCATCACTCGCTCACTTTCGAGTCGCTCGTAGCTCTTTGTAGCGCAATAAACTTCTAACGAATTTCTTAGTCACCGCAGACCACAAGCTCGCTGGTGTTAGTGAGCTCTACACGTTTTGGGTTATTTACGCGAGGCGGCGGAGTGTAGCCGTCGACGTTGGTTAAAGTATGCCTGAACGGATCGGCAAGATTAATGTGGTCAGCGTGTTTCTTGAGATATTTCACATACTTGTAAGGTTAATTACATTGCCGTGAAAATTGTTGCGGGCATACTACCCTCCATGATACGGGACAACATTTTCGTCGACCTCCATCCCTTCGATTATCTCGTCTTCAAAGGATTCGGTTACAGTTTGAAACAAATTTATATGAATTTAATTCAACGAGTTTCTTCCACGAGGAAAGATACAAAGGTATTTGATAAAAATTGGACGCGAAATTAAAATTGTATGGAGAAACAGTAGTGCTGAATTATATACATATAGAGTGTGGTAGATTATGTTTGAATAAATAGTACTAAAAAATTAGAAGTTTTGTTGAAGAAGAAGAAGAAAAATCAAGATTAGATCAAGACTCTCCGTCGCGTCACAAGACGTAAATAAATTCACGAAGAGAAATCATGATTCACCTAACATTATCTCGAATAAGGATGCAGCAAGCTTGCAAAGATTTTTGAGTGTATCTGAGAAAACGAATCAGCCCTTTGGCAGCGCGATAAAATAGTAATCACTGCCGAGATTCGCCCGCCATGGAAGTTTTAAGAAGAATCTTACTACTAAAACAGAGTTCTCACGAGTAACAGTATGAAATGACGTGAAACCTAGTTTCAGTGTGCTCCGTAATTACTACCCGGAAAGTTTCGAGCGTTTAACTTAAGAATAAGGTTTCGGGGTATGTGTGCATGCGTTGGATTGATTAGGAGGTGGAAATCCTTAAATATAGCCAAAGCCTGATGAGTTGCATGCAATTTGTTTCGCTGCAGTGTAGAGAAAATGAAGTTTGTTTGAGAGCGTCTTGAGTGAGTTAGAGTATTTCTGTAGAGTAATTCAAGTCTTCACAGTTGGATTATTGTTTGTCTCTGGATTAAATTAATACACACGGTGGGAACAAATTATTGTCAGAATCACAAAAAATTCCAAGACAACCATTCTATACAAAGTGTCCACGTGAAATAAACGTACAAACCCGTTTTAACGATTACTTTCCTTCCTCGTTTACCATAAACGCCGGCTCGAATCCGAAAGGAATAAAATTCTCTCTCATTCCTCATCCGTGTCGCGGGTTCTCGAGGCTGCGAGGCGGAAATCGCAGTATTTTTTCGAGGGGGAAGACACGACATTCCAAAAGGTCGCATTTTCGCGAGAAGAGAGCCCGGGTTATCCACGCGTTATTACGCCTCTAGGAGGTACAGCTCGCTCGAGGCATATGCGGGCCAAGCTTGTCCCCGTCCCTTTTTCGTTAGTAGTTTCGCAGTGGTTCATGTATTTATGCATTTCCACTCGCCCGCTGCTTCTTGACTAGAGTCTACGCGCGTCTATATGGACGTAGGCATAGCGTACCAGACGATTTACATGTATTGCCCCTCGATGATGCCCCATAAAAGATGGCCACCCGCGGTGGGGTAGCGTAGCAGAGAAGACAGAGAATTGCTTTTAAATTAGCGAGGTTTCAGTCCTTTCGACGTCACTTCATTCTCTCGACAACGATTCGTCGCCATAGATATACTTTTTTGGACTATCTAAACGATTTACATCGCATCAGAAAATTATGTCGTTTCCACGGTTGATAGTTACTGCAATTAATATCAGTTATTTAAATCGTTACTTCCATTTTCAGCAACGTTGAAAGTAATTTTCCTTCGACGAAATCTTGCTTTTCGCGGTAACGGTTGAATCCGTGGTTGCCTTTCATTATTCGACCGCCATATTTACTCATTGAATTCAATTCGGATTCACTTATGGTATGATTTACTAGCGAAGGCGTACCTGAGGATGGTGATGGGAATTTATTGGAGACGGAGGTCGTCCCGAAAACGGGGAAGGAAAATGCAGACGGAGAGAGAAGCTCTAAGAGGGAGAGAAGAGCTCTGGGCAAAAGGGACAACGGCCAACGAAGGTCGGGAAGGGCAAAGGGCGCGTCCTTTTCTCATATTCTATATCACATATGGTCGCTCGTAAAAGTTACAAGAGCATCTTTTCGAAATTTAGATTTACTGCACTGTTTCGCATTTACATTTACTTGTGTACTTTCTTTCATCTACGTACTTCCATGAATCTTTTACATTTCTGCTGACTCTTAGATTTCGTTTGGGAAGAAAAGTCAGTTAAAAGGTGGGACAGACGACTTTCGGAAGCAATGAAGTTCCTACAATGTAGAAGTAATAAATTCATTAGAGTTCATTTTTTACAAATTAAATACGAATGAATACGAGTAAAACATGTATGAAGAAAATTAAAAATAGACGTAAATTACAACAATAATTCGAAAATAAATTTCGAAACAAAGACACGTAAAAAACGAGCGACAAAGTTGTGCGCACCAATTTACGCGCGGAGTGAATTCTGGCCGATCAACAGGGGGGCTCGGAATGCCGCAGACCGAAAGTGGTGCCAGGGGGTTGGCGGAGAGAGAGGGAAGGGGCACACCCCCCGCGAACTCGAACATGAATTAAAGTTTTAATTTCTCTAAATCACTGTTCGCCCTCGAGCGCTTTCCACCAGACGGTCCGTTACTTATAGCCTTTGCCCTTTTTACCGCCTTCTTTTTTCCCATTCGCCTCGATCTTACCACCGTCCAACCCTCGCCAATCGGGAGAAATCGATATGCACTTATCCGATGACTCTTGAGACCCCAGGCCCTTCTTTTTTTCAGGGGTACCTTCGCAGGCATAACAGGCGGCAATCGTTCGCCTTTGGAGATTCGAAATACGCCAGCCAACATTTTCGTTGACATTAATCGAGAAGCATAGTGTGTGCATAAATTAGAGGCTAACTCGCATTATACTTCGCGATCAAATTTACAGGAATAATCGAAGAAACCAACATCCTTCTACCAAACAATTATCACCTCCACTTTCCTCAAAAAACACAAATTCTCATTTTCCCAAAACTTTTCCCAACCAAACCTGACCATCTTGCACCATCATACGCGACCAGAACAGAATGTAAATTACGATCAACCACCCACGCGAAAATGTATCGAAATCGATTTCCATCGTTGGAAACTGGATCGCGCGGCACACTTCGCGCCCGAACCTCCCTCTCCCCGGTTGCGCCGTGCGATAGGGTGAAACGCGGGGGTTGTTCATTTAAAATCATGACGCCGAGCGTAGGGCGCAGTCACGGCGGAGGCGTTAGTATTAACGTTAGGTGCCACCAGACCGGGCCACCTACAAGAACTTCGTGCACCCCTTACCGCCCGGTGACATATTGTTTCCATTCTGCTCTCGGGCTAAAGCGCAATAAAAAACTGGCATAAATATCGCCGCCCTCGGCGTCCCGCGGCAACGATGCCATCCAAAGCGGTGGCCCGCGACACCGAGCCCACGGCTGCAAGAACAGAGAGACCCTGGATATATACCCGGCGGTCCACAACTACGTGGAAACGTTCTTTCGCGCGGGAGAAACGGCAGGGACTAATTTGTCTGAGTGGCTTTTTCGATGGCTATAGAAAGGGCGCCCGCAGATTGCGAGACGAGCCGTGATCTTTTGCTGGATTGTCGTGGCGACCAAATATTCACGCGTTTTGGAATAGTCAGAGACAGTGGTAGTTTAAAATGTGGTACTATTTCATATCGGGTCCAGTAGGAGACACATCAAATGCATGGTTATGTTTTGTATTTTGTATTGGGGATAGTTTTGTTACTGTATGCTTGGGGAGTACAAATTTATGCGATAAAGTCTTTTGAATGGCGAAGAGGAATGAAATGTCTGAAAGATTAACTGATCCATATCTTTCTCCAATAGGATCAAAATTGTAGAAAAAGAATTTCAATTATGTCAATGTATATTCGATATTTACACAATGTTACACCTCTAAAATATATTTAATCGGAAACAGTCGAATCGTGGATGTTTTAAAATTGATTCGTGGCATTATTATTAACATTTGCTGGTCTTCCACCATCCCATCTTTACAAAATGCGTTGTATTCAAAGAGTAACTGGCAAACTCCCGAGTAATTACATCCGCAGCAGGGAATACCAAAAAGACTCATTCACGAATTCAATAGACTATGCGTTACGCGGCAACCTATGGAGCCTTTATAACATTCCGCAATAACGAATGGGATAAAATTGTAAGGTAACTCCATAGGTGAACAGATATTTTAAAATTTAATAAAGGCCCAGAATACAAGTCTGATAACAATAGAACATATACGAGTTCGGAATAATTCTCGAATAATAACGTCAGCTTTCGGGACTTTTACTATTATAAGGAGATTCATTAATGAGCGAATAATTTGATTTACGCATACGAGATTCATTATTTAGTTACGATAATTGCTGAACAACAGTTACGTATTTTTTCAGGTGGGGGTTGTGTGTATAGATGATCAGTGTTTTGATGAATACTCGTTTATTGTGTACTTACAGCGTGACGGGTTCCTCAGGACTCGAAGGTGAAATTGACAGAGACATCGTGGTGGTTAAACATCGTGATGTTCCTGGCGACCTGACTCGATCATTCACCTATAACAGGAAAAGAATAAGTTAGAAAGAATAATTACTCTAACAATATTTTATGTCTGAATATGTGATGGATTTTCGTGTTGCATTTAGTATTCAACAATGCAATTAGAGATATACTTTGTTAATTGGTCCAATAAGCAACTAACCATCTAATTGTTTAATTCCATTAGCATTGCAAAGCAGATATTCCAACACCCAATAGCATGACGACACTTGAGACAGTCGAACTTCGACGCGATCCGCTTTAAGGGATTATGCACACGATCGAATTGAAAATATACAGAAGAAACATTCTTCTGTGCACCTTTTGAATTCTTTGCACGATCCTCGCCGTCGTCGATAGGGAATTGCGCAACAGGTAGAGCAGATATGTCCTCGAGGCATCATGCTCGACAGAGCGTACGCGTGATTTACCGTATAAGTGACTCATCGAAAGCACCCCTTTCTTTCTCTCATCTTTGATTCCATCATCGAAACGAAACGCGAAGGAAATAATTCTCTTACCAAGATAACTTGAAGCGCGGGGGCCAAGAATTCATATCTCACAGACAGCATTCACATTCCCTGATAAATTAGCAATTTGGAACGAATAAATATTGTAGGAGTCTAAACGAAAAATAAGGCACGGGGATTCGAAGCCACGATCCTCGGATCCACAGTCGGACCGCTTTACCTACGCGACCAATCCCATACTCTACGTTTCGTGTTCTTATTTCACTCCTTATTGTTCGGTATGGGAGGCGCGGATACTACAATATTCTATGCATGTGTTCCATTATATTCATTTAACATCAAAATATTTATAAGACCAAAACTCCTTGTTTAAAAAACGCGTGGAAGAGACCAGGCACGATCAAATTTTTCGCCCGTTGGATTCCCACGAGGCTCTCAATCGAGACACTGGCAGCATAATCGGATCTAGCGGACAAATTCAGTCGAAATTGAGTCACCCCCGACCAAAGAAATATTACGGCCATATTTTTCTCCAGTGAACGATGACTGAAGCTCTCCCGCGATTTCCAAGGGATTAATAACGGCAGTAGACCGTTCCTACGACAATCGCGGAGAGAAACAAACGTAGCCCCGGGCAAGTGGACCAGACTCGCGCCCGACATCAATCTGAACGAGCGAGCCGCACCCCTAACGAGCCACCCAGTCATATAAATTTTATTGCCATTTCATAAATCTCGACAACTACCGCGAGTAACCGTTCCTGGCCTCTCTCAGAGATTATCAGGAACGTATAAAGTTGCGGATCGTCGCGCGGTTACGGCGCGATTTTGTTTGTCGACTCGAGCCGCGACGTTGACGGGGATGCTCGCGAAAAATATCACGGAAACGTTCGAGTAATATCGATAGTTCTCGCTGGGGGGCGATCAACCGCGACGTAAAATGGAGAATTTATCGGCAATGGATATTTTTAATCGTTTCCGAACCTCATCTTAACGACAGCGCGAAGACATTGGTGAAGTTCGCCGTTAATTTCGAACAGTGGAATCTATAAATTCGAAATGAGATTGTAATTCAAGTGCGATTCAATCGAGGCGTGTGCGTATCGTTTCTGTACTATCCTAGTCGTTGGAATTATCAACATATTTCATTGGTAGAATTATCAACAGTTTGATAAAAATATTATATGTATTATAAATATAAGCAAACGGGTATATCCAGAACTATTGAAAAATGTGTGCATGTAAGTTAACGAAGTAAAGTCCAATGAAAAGGTTTGTTCAACTATTTCTTGGATACTTCAGAGTGAAATTTGTATCGACTGGATCATAAATTCTTTCTTTGAGGGAACTCTCGAAGTTTACGAACAATGTAATACTGTTTATTAAACTTCCCAGTAACGTTGGAGTGTAACAAGCTCATCAGTTTGCTTATTTCCTGCACAATAATTTCATTTACATCTTTAATAGTAGATAGTACTTCATCCTGACAAGTACATATAATTTAATTATAATATAATACGAGAGAAATATACGAAGTAGTAACTGACAGACCTCTCGCCATGTTCTTCCCGTCACAAATCATCTCGTATTTTCCCAGACACTGTTAAAAACATTTCCATACCGCATGAAAGATGCATTCTTATCTCAACATGTAAATAGAAGCATAAAATACGATGCAGCGGTTGGCTGGGAGGAATGGAAACAGCAAGATTATATTTATAATAAATAAGACGGAAGCCCGCACGCGAAGGAGGAAGAAGGAGCACAGTTAATTCAGTTTTATACGACAACACTTCCGATCCACGGCAAGCCGGCGACAGTCTCAAGTTCCTTCCCTCGCGTTCTCTTCATCTTAACGCAAAGACGAACCAAAACCTGATTTACATTTCTTTCTCTCCGCGCTATAAAAATTCTGCGACGATAACTTCCTTTGTTCCACCCTCTATGGTTCGTGGGGGACGAGCGACCCCTGCGGCTGGAAAGCCACGGGGAGTCCCCATAACCCCGACTAGTTTTCGGTTTACATTACATTTTTTTTTTCCTTAATTAAAGGCAGTGCGCATTCAGGTTTGTCGGAAACCGTCCTTTATCTTTCGCGGCCGAACATATTCAGCGTACACCCCTTGAAGTATTCCACTGAATATTTTCAACAATTTCGCCTAAGTATTTTCAAAGGAATTCTTTGTAAATTGATGTTTCGTTAATTTCGTCCATCATCATTCACCAATCATCATCCAATCATTTACTAATCATCGAAATTCATGAATTTCATTTAAATTCGTTTCTATTGTAGCTGAACTTTCAGAATTACTTCCTCTTCGTGCTTCGGTGAAAAGCACTGTCACCCATATGTAGGTAACGCGGCGATCAATATGTCAAACTATAGCTGAAAAATAGAAAATTAATTCCACATGCCTAACAGAATCTACGCTCTCCCTTTTTGCGTTCTATGTCGCAGCCATTTGAAATGCACGCACATGACGTATCCACGCGACAACAGTCGGTGCTGACGATCGTTCAGGCGACGAGACCCCCGTCGCGTGGGTGCGAGAGAGGCCAAGACAGGATCGAAATGTAATTAAGAGAGCAAATAATCCGAGCCGAACAAACTCCATGAAATGGATCAAAGAACTCGCGGGAGGGGAGGAGTCGCGATAGGGCGAGGAACAGAGAGAGACGGAGCGGTGGGACATCCGTCGATAGAGGCGCGTCGTTGAAAGGTAGCAGGACGAGCTACGACCGACTGCTGCTCCCTGTCGTCGTCCTGTCTAGCCCGAAGGAGTAGGGCAACGAGGGGGCCTCGGCAAAGACCCTCGATAAATATTTCCGTCAAGTGACCGGGGTTGGAATTCAAAGAGAGCCGAAAGGTGGAATCGAGAGCGAAACGAGTCCATCCTCTCTTCAACGGCAGTTCAAGGGATGGCCGACGAGAACGACGCTGGGGGATGAGAGGGGGGCGGCCTGGCGAGCCAGTATATTTGCGTTACGTTACGTAGTTGCGCGTTTAATCAGCCGTATACCCGGAAAGGGCGCGTGTGAGAGGGAAGAAGGAAAAGAGGAGAGTAAGAGGAACTGCCTCGACTTCCGGATACTAAAGAAGGACGGGGATAAACATCCTCCTGCCTTTTGTGAGCCTGAAGAGACCAGATTCTCTTTGCTACCGGACTGTCCTCTGCATCGTCGTGTACGACTACTTCCCAGAGAACGGATTGTTGGTTGGTTATTTTTTTTTTTTTTTTTTTTGTGCAGTGTGTGGAGAAACGTATGGAGGCGAGGGACTGGTTAGCTGTTTTCGGAAGCACCAAGGATCGTGTGCTTGAAAGAAATTGCCTGTTTAGCGGAGGGAAATGTCTGAGCTTTAATTAGGGTGACTCGAATTCTTCTGTAGAACGTTAAGAGAAGTTACAATTTCTAGGTTTTAATAATTTTGAATGAAAGGTTTGTTTACTGTTCGTGCTAGTCAGATACATAATTTCGAAATTTGTAATTTCAGTATGCTACACTATGTTTTACCAGGGAAAATTGAATAACTTTTTCTTTGGTTTTCTTAAATTTTTAATAGATTCGTTTTTTTTTTTGGTTCCAATAAGTACGAGGGACGAGGAAGCAAGAGAAAATAGAAGAGATGGCGCCTACGAGACGTCGATGGCGTGACAGATTGCCTCCAGTATTTTCCACCACATATATCATCGGCATCCGCCAGCCCTTAGTTCTAGTTCAATGCTCACCACCGTCGTCTCCCTTAATTGGCATCACCTATACCAATCTACCTGTGCCTTCGTTCAGAAAATTTCCTAACGCGGTTATCCACGATAAATTATGTTTTTGGCGGAATATTTCTGTTTAATGATCGACGATAAACTGTACCTTATACATGCTTTCATTAAAAACACCAAGTTTATTTCATAATTTTACAAACAAAATTAACTTAACGAATCAATAGAATTTTAGCTATAAATATTAATAAATTAACAAGGAAAAAGAGCACACCTTTGTCAGTTTCAAGTCCTCAATTTGAACCCACTACTTTATCTCTTAGAAAAAATGGTTGTAAAGGACTGAAGACTCGGATGCTAACGTCGCGATTTCGCGAGGAAACAATGATCCACGGACGATCGGGATTTATCTTTACGACGCCGTATCCAGCGACGCGTTATTTCGGCATCGGTGAAAAAAACATAATAAAATTTAACGGTCCGTCAGGCCGTGGCATCGGCCGTTCCCTGCGAGGCCAATAAATATCGGGAACAGGGCGGCTACAAATCTCAAGATAAACACGAGCTCGTATTTTTCTACCCCCTTGGCTTTTCTCGTTCTCGCTCCTTCCTCCTCGAAGCGTAGCGACAGGGAGAAAGGGCTCGCCCTTTTTACATTCCTCGTATGAATTATTAGGTGGCCGGACCTAAGGGGTGGACACCGCGGTATTTAATTTTCACTGGCCATTAAAACAGGACGAATTTTTCCCTAATCGTATCCCTGACGATGAAAGTGCGGTTTGCAGTTTGTCACCGACCCTTCGTTTTGTTATCGATATATTATCCTGTCGCA